GTTTAACGTGGTTTTTGTATTTTCCTCAGGTGGAGGACCTGCTTTCCCAGTACATTCTTGGAGCTTGTTTTGGACTTTATTTTTGTTCTCCAGTGATTTTTGTTTTATAAAATTGACTTGTTACCCCTTGGATCCGCGTTTGGAGTCTATTTTTTCAAACCACAACATATTTGTCCTGTTTTGGCCCAGATTAGTCCTGCTTCAGTCCGGTTTCAATCCTGCTTTATTCCTGCTCCAGTCCCAGTTGAGTCCTGTTTCTGTCCTGTCTTCACCACCCACCAAAAATCGTATTATTAGCACACTGATATTAATTAATTTTAAAAAAGAAACCGGGCCGTGGCATTCTGTAATTGACTCCAACAAAATGGATCTGGAGCCCCACACTTCACGGTGTGAGATTCTCTCGTTACTTCTCTTTGTCTCAATATCTTCTTCTTCCACCGATCATTTCTTCTAACAGAGGGAGATTTTCTTACACCTCCCACTGTGGCCACTTCCACAGCTGAAGAAACGTGATGTGATGCCAGCGTAATTGAAATGGTTAGTATTCATGTTTACAAGCTGTATATTTACATGAATGAACCAATGAACATACTACTGGGCTGAAATTAGAAAGAGACAGAGAGAGACAGAGAAAGAGACAGAGAGAGAGAGAGAGAGAGACAGAGAGAAAGACAGAGAAACAGAGATACAGAAAGACAGAGAGAGAGCGTGAGAGACAGAGAGATACAGAGAGAGAGAGAGAGACAGACAGAGAGACAGAGAGCGACAGAGACAGAGAAAGAGACAGAGACACAGACAGAGAGACACACAGAGAGAGAGAGAGGGACAGAGAGACAGAGAGACACAGAGAGAGAGAGAGACAGAGAGAGATACAGACAGAGACAGAGAGAGAGACAGAGAGAGATACAGACAGAGAGACACACAGAGAGAGAGAGAGAGAGATAGAGACAGAGATACACAGAGAGCGACAGAGAGAGACAGAGAGACACAGAGAGAGACAGAGAGAGATACAGACAGAGAGACAGAAAGAGCCAGAGACAGAGACACACAGAGAGAGAGAGATAGAGACAGAGAGACACACAGAGAGAGAGAGAGAGAGAGAGAGATAGAGACAGAGAGACACAGAGAGATAGAGACAGAGAGACACAGAGAGAGAGAGAGCGACAGAGAGAGATACAGACAGAGAGACACAGAGAGAGAGAGCGACAGAGAGAGACAGAGAGAGATACAGACAGAGAGACAGAGAGAGACAGAGACAGAGAGAGACAAAGAGAGAGAGGTTTTATTGTAAGAGGTGGGCTCGAGCTTACAATTGTTTTCCTGCTTTCATTAATAAACAGTTCTGTCCAGCAGGTTCCATTCAAACCCATTCAAAATGATGACTTCTCTGAAATGAAGGCCATAAATAGTTTTAAATTCTGAAATGGCTCAATCCAATTTCAACACTTGTCGTTAAATGATAAAACAAACACATTTTACCACTGAAAAAAACACATTGTTTAATCATGGCTTTTTCAACTTCTGTAATTTAATAGAACATGTTTAAGGTTGTTGCATCTAGTCTAAGGATGTGTTTGTATTTAAATGGTGTTTCCTTTTCCTTTTTCAGCGTTTGTGCCTGTGATGCACTTGGGCAGCTGGTGTTGTTGTAAATGTGCTATACAAAAAAAACGTGACATTGACATTTTGGGTGATTTATATGGAACATGTTCACAAGTCGGTTGTTATTGTCACATGACGCCTGTTCCCAGTTCTTTCTAAAACGCATTGATAAAAAAAAACCAAAAAACCTGGTGATAATTTAGCAATTTTTTTCCAAGATACAAATTTGACGGAAGGAAAGAAACTACTTTTTATGGACACGTTTTTCGGGCTTTATAATGTCATCGATAATACAAGCCAGAGTGTCTGTCTAATAACCATCGCGGAGGATTACAATGAGCAATTACAAATCCATTGTCATCCTAATCCCCAAAGTCAGGGCACTTTTTTATGAGGCTCTGGTTTATGATCCATTTCAGATGAGATCAACAGGAGCAATTAGCCTCAGAACACAAATAATTACTTTTGACGACCGCTCCTGCAAGAATGAAATAACACGTCAAATCATATCAACTACACAATGTGTCTGTGTCAACGAAAACGTTTATTATCACATACAGAAGGGATTGCAAAAGTACAAATACAACTTTTGGCATATTTTGCGGCCAATAATGTTAAAGTAGCAATATATGTAAGGTTTTTATGTCAAGTCATCATTAAAGGGCCCTAATCTGTCAAAAGGCATTCATAAAACATGTTCTTTTCCAATACTTATTTAGCTGATAAGAGTAGTTCAGAGATATTTTAATTTGAAAATTAGTTTTACAGCCATAAATCTTGTTATTGTCCCGCCCTCCACCATTTCACCAATCAGAAAGTCCGTGATCCGGGTTGCCAGAACTCATCGCGTCAAGCTAATCTCACTGGTAAAGTACCATGTGGCCGCAGAACTAAAAAAGGTCTCGTCATGATTCTCACATCATTGACGACAAAACAAGAATAACACATTTATATCAGGGCCATTGTGAAAAAAAAGAAGTTTGTTATAGATTTGTGGTTGACAAAACTCTCGTCTATTCAGATATTTTGGATTTGTCTGCATATCTGGCAACCTGAGTCAGGGAGTGGGAGAGGTTGCAGTATGACTTTTGGCCAGATTTGTACATACTGCTCCTTTAAAGCTGCACTAACTGACTCCCTCCCCGCGCCCACGAAGCTATCGCCCCCCACACACACTCACTGTTGGGACGGAGCTAGCGTCTCCCAATATGGATAATACATGGACATGGATTTGCACGTGGATGGCGTGACCATAGAACGATAGAACCAGGAAGCGCGGAGGAACGGGACTTTCTTTGGGATGGCTGTTTTGCTGTGTAAGCAGTAACCGGTGACGAAGACGAGGAAGTTCAGGTTAGCTCCTTGGCTTGTTGTGCTAACTCAGCTGTCTGTGCTAACAAGACCAGTAGATTTCTCACGAAAGTGGGGGCTAGTGGTCCGCTGTGATTGGTCACAATCTGCGACCCGAAACACATTCTCTTCCTTGTTTCATCAAAACTCGATCTAAAATATAATGTCAGGCCAGCACAAATCTGCGCTACTTTTTCTTCAAAAGGACGTATATCCCAATGGACATGGACATGGATAGCATTTTCGTAATGAATACAAAAATAAAGTCAGTTAGTGCAGCTTAAACGTTTCTATACATCAGTCTCAAATGTAATCTCCATGAACATCTTGATTGACGTGTTGTTTCCTCGAGCCACAGAAGCAAATGGCTAACTCTCTGGTAGCGGCTGCTGCGCTAATTAGAGCTCGATCAACACGATTAAATTTACCTCCATCCATTGATCTGCACGGAAACATACTGTGTGGAAACTTCAGGGAGATGCTTAGGAGTAAAAGGACTGAATAAAAATGAGCCAAACTATTTCATAAATGAGTGCTCTGTGGAGAGGAGTAGGGTTTTAATCTGTTTGTTCATCTGTGTGAGAGAAACTTTATGGTGGTGGAGTTTGGATGAAAACATGTGCAGCAAAGGTACAATACACGGATCTAAAGGAAATGCATTCACGAGCTTCACTGTCCGCTCTTATCCACTGGTCTTGATGATTGTGTGAGAATGTGAAGTACCCAGGGCTGAGGAGGTCATGTGCACATGAGATGATGCACAATCACTTCAGCTCTGGATGATACTCTGTGTTTGGCAAGAGAGATCACTTTATTGTAGAAATGTTTGAGTTCTAGTCACAGACATGACGTCTCCTGATCTCCTGCTGCTGCTCTGCACTTTTATGCCAGACAGTTTTGTCTCAACCAAAAGTGGTTCATGTGACACATGTTTCAGATGTAGTTTGGTGCGAGGCCCTGGAGACTCTGAGCCGCAGGAAGATACCTGAGACCAAGACTAATGTGAGAGGACTTCAGGACAGAGACCTGAGACCAGGACTAATGTGAGAGGACTTCAGGACAGAGACCTGAGACCAGGACTAATGTGAGAGGACTTCAGGACAGAGACCTGAGACCAGGACTAATGTGAGAGGACTTCAGGACAGGGACCTGAGACCAGGACTAATGTGAGAGGACTTCAGGACAGAGACCTGAGACCAGGACTAATGTGAGAGGACTTCAGGTCAGAGACCTGAGACCAGGACTAGTGTCAAGATTTTTATTGTCTCCAGATGTGAACATTTTTCTTGTCCATCAGAGCATCACATTGATAGATGAACACAGCTTCACTTTGAGAACAGGCATAAACAAAAACACCTACAGGGGCTTTTGTAAATAAGAACATTACAAAACACAAATGCACATTCTTTATGTGACCCTAAAGTCTCTTTTTGCACAGATGTTATGCAATGTGCACTAATGTGAGAGTCCAGAGAGCAGGCCGGTGCAGTAGACCACAAATACACATCTGGAGGAGTTGCAGATCTAACAAACTGAAATGTAACAGTTCCAGGTCGTCTTGACGTCTTTATGTCCTGGTTCTTTTTATCAAGGGTTTGTGTCTGTGCAAAAGTGAATAGAACCCTAACTCTAACATTGGAGCAAACGTTGATTATTCCTCAATGTGGAATTGTTCAGTTGCATTTACGCAAAGAAATACATGTAACACGACCAGCCGAGCTTCTTTTCATTACACCCACAACATTGACTGTTTATGTTTTTATAACTAATAGTTAACATTAAATACAGAACGATCAAAGGTTCACTGTAATCTGAACAGCGTTTCATAAAGAACAGTTTTAAAGAAGGCTGTGTTACAACTGTGCAGTAGAAATTAGATGACTCAAACACTTTTCAGACAATTTAATCTCCCAAAGCGCCGCTCTGTCTCCCATCTTTCGTACTTACCAAGGACACATCGCAGATCAGATTATCCAGAGAATAACATCCTGAAATCCTGCATTTGGACTGAAGCACAGCGTTCAAAAGAGCGTTTGTGTGGAGTGATGGATCGGGCCTCACATCACAGCAGACACAGGACCGCAGCCGGAGAAGAAGTGCACCCTGGGAGATATCAATCACAGTACTCTGTCTGTTTACAAAGAAAAGTCAACAAATACACTGGAAAAGACATGGATTTTGCTTAACTCTGCAAACGATTGATGATTATGTGAAATTATTTGGATTAGGTCAGGGGGCGGAGCTTTAAAAAATGAATATTGTCCGGAGCATTGAGAAGGGACATTATTAGCAGATGTTAAAAACCTGAATTATTTCATGGGTTCTCTGCTCTCCCTCAGATATGACTCGTAACTACAAATTCCAAAAACTTGATCGAACCCAGAGGCCAACCCGGTGAGGAATACACCCGACAGAGAACTGCATTGTGACGACAGAAGTTGAATCCGTGCGACCGGTTCACCCATTTGCACATCTGTTTTCATTCTTTAGCTGCTCCGCCGATTTTCAGAGCGCCCTTCACAATGTGCGCCTCCCACTTCGTCTCACCGAGAGCAGAGACTACATCACCCATGAGCTTTTCAAGGGAACAGCGCATGCGTCGCTATACGACCATAGACACGCTACAGTCTATGATCCACACAAACAAGTGGATCCCAGAGCTGTGTGAAACATGTCACGGATCCTCGGTTAAATTCAATTCATTCCTCATTAAGAACACAGAAAAAAACTGTTTCATAGATTAAAACAAAAAGAAAAAAGATACGTATACAATAAAACTAAAGACAGGTGTACAGGCAGGACCTAATGGACGGCGAGACCGAGGGAGAGCCAGAGGACGACGTCATCTACTCCAAACCATCACTCATCGGCAAACTCAAGGTTCTGGCATCCAAGGGAAATGGCGACCGCTACGAAAACGTGCAGCTCAACTCGTCACCGTCCAAAGCGCTGGTGTGGAGCTAAACCACACCTAATGTAAGGCCGCACAGGAGAGAGAGAGAGCCGCCCCCTCATGCCAGCTCCGCCCCCAAACTCTCCCCGCTATTACCACGGACACACAGCGAGAGAAAGGGGCGGGGCATTCTGAATCAGATCAGGGTACGACGCAGACCTTGGTGTTTGTCATTATTGCATTTCCTGTGTGTTATTATTTCATGTCCTGTTGTTGGCGAATCAAAGGCTTTGTAAAGTCCTTTGAGACGACTGCTGTTGTGAATTAGGGCTATACAAAAATACATTGACTTGACTTGACTTGACCTCCAATGCCTCCATAAGTCAGAGGAGAACCTAACAGAGCTCCTCCTTGGACAGACCAGAGCTTGGATGTTCTGATTTTTCAGACTCACGGCTCTGCACATAAAATACAATGAACGCCTACTTTGCTCCTGTGGCTTCGGAAAAATAAAAGAACAAGGTCAGAATCAGATCAAGTGAATCTGAGTGGCTTTCAGCTCGATGAATCCTACCTTACAGATGAAACAAACTCTCGAAATCGAAAGACTTTCATTTCTGACCTTCCTTAAACACAACAGACCACCCTTGGATCAGTTTAATGCACAGACACAACTGGCTCTGACGGAAAAGTGCAGCATCTATAACCTGTGGAGCCCCAAGTGCAGGAAAGAGGAGCCCAAACATCCTGTGGCCTTTTCTAGGTAAAATAATAGTGTTTTCATTGTCAGTATATTTTGCTGAATCTGGCTTGGTATAAGTAAGTACGTAATGTTTATTTTTATAGCACATTTTACAGACCAAGGTCACCCAAAGCGCTTTCCAATGTACAGAGTTCAGATATTGATCCAATCATTCCACACACGGTGATGACAGAAGCGAGTCCAGAACACACTGGACCATCAGCTCCGATCAACACCATCCATTCACTCTCTCATTCACATTCATACCTATTGTGCATGTTTTTAGTGATAGGGGAAACCGGAGCACCCGAAGGAAACCTACGCAGACACGGGGAGAACAAGCAAACTCCACTCAGAAAGGCCCTGGTCCGACCGGGATTCGAACCCAGGACCTTCTTGCTGAGAAGCGAGAGTGCTATCCACTCAAACACCGTGCCGAGTAGATAAAAAGTGACATTGTTCAGTGGACATTCCGAAGTTGCGGTATTTCACATTGCACATAATTTTAGTAAAGAAGTGCCGGTTCTTAAAGCGCTGCACACAACTGAGGGATTTTATTGTCACTCTTTTTTCATGTGCTTTGTTCAGCACTTTGCGTTGCCTTGTGTATGACCTGTGCTATACACATAAACTTGGCGAGTCTAAATCTACAAATGCAAAATTGACTGATTCTTGTTACTGAATCAGACAGATGAAGCCACTTTCTCGTCTCCAGCAATGAAAGGCCAAACCGTGGAACATTCCGTCGCAACCCTTCCAAAGAGAACGTATCGATATCCCAGTGTTCATGTCTGTAATAAAACCTCTTGATGTTGTCGAGATTATTCTCCCAGAACTTGCCACAGGCGCCACACTATTGATTTCAAAATGCCTCAGGAAGTTGATCCCCCAGAGCCGAGGTTATAATTAGTGTTGTTAAACTTAATCTGCTATTTCTTCTGACAGAGAATGATGTTATTTATGGAGGATGCGGTCGGGTCCACTGAAAGTCAAACTAAATCAAAACAATTGTTGTCATTTGGGAATGTATTTTGTTTTGCGTCCTGTAGAAAAGTTAGAAGTTTCTGCAATGTGAGTGTGGGAAAGTGGATTTTAACTGCTTTTATTTTTGTGATGTGTTTTGTGTGTTTTTATGGTGTTAATGCATGCATTTTATCACTGTTCCCTGGACACTTCCCCTAACCCGCACCTGTTTTAATCAAGACTTTTTAATTGGGGGCGGGCACTGCAGGACGAGAGGAGAGGAAGAGGAAGAGAGACAGATGATTTTAACCTGTGACATTTTACATACAATGTCACAGGTTTAAAAGTGTCCTTTTTTAAAAGTGTCCTTTTTAAAAGTCCACTTTCCCACATGAGTTTTCAGAAAGTTTGCCTATATCAAAAATGTTCAAGATGCAAAGTCAGTAATATTGTATGTGTTGTTTTCAAAATGGTCGCCCTTTTGAAAATGGATTCAGACGGTTCAGTCTTTGTGAAAACACAGGCCTCCGTCACAAACAAATATGACCGGGAACTGTCAACGATCAACAGCAGAAGAGAACAAGCAAGTCCCCAGTCTCACTGTATCAAAAGAGTGGGTTTTATTGTCATTGTCCCAAAACCCAATATCAACAATTCCTACTGACAAAGAATATACTGTAAGAACAAAAGGTGGATTGGCCAAAAATCACTTCATCATTATTCATTCACTCCATACACAGGTGGTGATAAACTACCACTGTAGCCACAGCTGCCCTGGGGCGCAGTGACTGAAGTGAGGCAACCAGTCTTTGCCATCGGCCCCTCTGACCACCACCAACCATTCACACACACACCACTCTCATTCTAGACAATGTGGGTGAAGTGTCTTGCCTAAGGACACAGCGGCGGTTTAGCACTTTGCAGCTGCCCCACTCCCATCACAGTGCTAACCAGGCCCTGCACTGCTTAGCTTCAGAAGTGTGACGGAATCGATCTCTCGCATGCTCAGTATATTTTCCTCAAGTCAAGTCAAGAAAGTTAGTCCTACATGTTTTAGTGGGAAACTGGAGGATTTTGATTTGATCATTATCTATAAAAATATGATTTGAATAATAGATTACGAATAGCAGAAAACAACACAAAGTAAAATAAATCTCTAAAAGTAATAGACAGGGTTGATAGATTATAAAAGTAACAATATTTTCTCGTAAATGTAACACCAAAACTATAAAATCCTTAAATGTTAAATCCTTAGTTACTATCACGATAAATCAGGTTTTGTTCAGACTTCACCGCTGACAACATCAATGCAAAGTACAAATGTCTTTTTTTAATGACTTCTCAAATAAAAGTGAGTTCTGTTCAATTCAATTCAATGTATTCTTGTATCGCCCTAAATCACCACAGTAGTTATCTCAGAGGACTAAACAAAATAGTTGAAATCGCCAACACAGATCGGAGAATCAAACAGTTAAGACACAAAACATATACAACATAGATTGTAGTAAAACTAAAATGAATAAATGTAGTAAAACTGTGAAAGCATTAGTCTGACCTCTTGTTGACATAAAGATCAATACTTTCAGTGAGACACAGGAGTTGATAGCACTCTCGCCTCACAGCAAGAAGATCCTGGGTTCGAATCCCGGTCGGAACGAGGTCTTTCTGAGTGGAGTTTGCATGTCCTCCCAGTGCTTGCGTAGGTTTCCTCTGGGTACTCCGGTTTCCCCTACCACTAAAAACATGCACACTAGGTTATATCCTCCAGCTTCGGTAGTCCTGACCAAGCCGAGCGTCAACATCTGGAGATGCGTTCCCGGGCGCTGTTACTACGGCGACCACTGCTCCTGACGTGAGCCTTCGCGGCATCAGGATGGGTCAAATGCAGAGGATGAATTGCCCTACGGGGATTATTAAAGTGCACCTTTACCTTTAGCTTTACAGGTGAAAGTGGTGGATTGTTGTGGATTGTGGGTCTGTGCAGAGAGTGAGGAAGCACCTGTGGCAGGATCAGAGCAGCGGCTGTGCTTTCCCGCCGAGAGAAGTGGCCGCAGCTGTTCTTTCCTTTGTGTAAATAACCTGTTGTTTCTCTCAGACTCCTCTCGTGAAAGCCTCCTCCAGAGCCAGAGACACTCACACACTCACAGCCTGCTTTTCCTTTGGCTGAAGTTGTGAATCTATCGCTATATATTTCTGACGATGGAGGAAGTGGTGTCTCTGTGCGTTTACATGGAGGTCATTACCCAGTATCAAGAGAGCAATTTAGATTATGAGAGGGTTAAAACAGTTTCCTCAAAACATTTGGTGGATCACTTTTTCAGTCACTATATCGACTTGAAGCTCGGAACTGAAATACTGTATACCTCGTTGGGGGAATCTCTTTGGCTTTAGGCACTTTTACTATCAGTCTGTATCTCAACCATTTGGTAAAGGCCTATAATTGAAAAAAGGGGGTTAAACAGAACTACAAAAATAAACAAGGATAAATGATTGTGTTATTAGTTCTCCTACGTCTTAGAAAATCAAAGACAAGAAGCTTTTACTGCAAAAAGTGATCCAATATGAGGTAATAAATGCTCAAATCAAGTTCTTAAATCTTAATTTTTGTAATTTTAGTACATTTTTACTTTCTTAAACTAAGATTTTTCCAATGGGACAAAGTCATTTAGTATCGTCTCATGAACTGCTGCTTTATTTTTACATTCCAAGAGAGATCTTTCTTGTATAATTTCTAAACAAGATCATTTTGCTTTGTCCCATTGGCAAATCTTATTTTAAGGCTCAGTCAAAATCTTCTCAAATTAAGCAACATTTTTCCAAATTTGACTTATTTTTCTTCACTTTTTGCAGTGTTCTTCAAGGAGTGAATATCAATGGGTTAAAAAGCACGAGCATTTCAAATGAAGAGCCTCGGAAAAAGTGCAGTTTTCGAGTTTTCAGCAACTCACTTCAGTACTTCAAATCTGTGCTCAAAACTGCAAACGCTGTTTATTTTAGCTTTTTATTGATTCATTTATTCCTCATTTGTTCTTTTGTGCAGCGTCTTTGAGTGTCCAAAAATTGCTCTACACACTGCAAAAAGAGATGACAAATAATTCCAAAATAATTGAAATTTGGCAAAATGTTTCTTAATTTGAGCAGATTCTGACTGAGCTTTAAACCAAGATTTGCGAATGGGACAAAGCAAAATTATCTTGTTTTAAAAAGATACAAGAAATATCTCCCTTGGAATGAGAAAATAAAGCAACAGTTCTTAAAATAACACTAAATGACTCTGAGAGATTCTTGTTTGAAGACAGTCAGAATGTATCAAATAAAAACCCCTTGATTTAAGCAAATATCACCTCATATTTTACCACTTTTTGC